GAAGAGGAATGAACTGGCGAGGAGGGTAGAGAAAACAGTGCAACAATGAATGAATGGAAACCCAAAATCTCTGTAAATGTTCATTAAAACTAATAAAATTTAATTTTAAAAAAAGTTTTAATCACCATATGTTTCTAGAGAACGACTTTCTTATCCATGAACACAGGATATGGGAAGAGGCCTAGCTTGTACCTTCCTCTCAGCACCGCTGCTTCCACTGTACTGTTTGGCAACACTACTGCAGTGGGAGTAAAACTCTCATTTTAGAGAATTTCACCAACAAACACATACACACTGGAAAGGGGCCAAAACACCAGGGGTGATCCAAGCCAGAGTCCAGGAGAGCTTCCAAAAGCCACATAAGCAAAAGCTGCAAAAAACTTCCAGTTCCTCTTTTTTTCTCTGAGGCCCTAGTTCCTTTCCCTCCAGTGAATACACACTTAAATTGGCATATTTTCCCTGTATATCTAAAGTCAAGAAAGGGCTTACTAATTCCTTTGAACTAGTGGGTGACCAAATCTGACTTGTATGTAAATTTTACTTCAAAAGGGGGGAAAAGGTGTAAATACTAAATTTACATAAATGATATGTGTGCTAAAGTATTTAGGGGAAGTGTACTGAATGTTAGTCAGTAACTTACTCTGAAATGTATTAAAAGCTGATGGATCCACAGAAGGGTAGGTAACTGAAAAATCAAGCACGTTGTTATTATATGCTGTCGGGTCAGCTATGACTCATAGTGACCCTATGCACAATAGCTCTGAACCCTGTCCTATACTTTGCCAATCTACTCTCTGACACACCTGCCTTCATTACCCCAGTTACTGTGTCAATCCATCTCAACCAGGGTCTTCCTCTCTTGTACTGTCCCTCTACCCTTCCATACATGATGTCCTTCTCCAAGAACTGGTCCCTCCTGACAACATGCCCAAAGAATGTGAAATGGAGCCTCAATATCCTTGCCTTCAAGGAGCAGCCTGGTTTCACCCTCTCTAGGAGAGACCTCTTGGCAGTCCATGGTATGTTCTGCACTGCTAAGAAACCAAGTATAGTACAATATTAATGGCAGTCTAGGTGGTAGGCATGTGAGCTTTACCTATAAACTTCTTTTACCTTTTTAGTATGCCAGAAATTCTTCATAAAATATGTTAGGGGGGGAGCATCTAACTTTCACTATATATATATATGTCTCAAATATTTTTTTTGGAAATTTTATCAGATACTGAGCAAAGTTGTCTCAATAGAGGTTTTTCCTAGATATTCTCCGAGGTAATGTTGAGATTCATAAGGAGACTGGGTGGTCAAATGTTAGACTGTTAGCCAATAGGTTGGTGGTTTGAATCTACTAGTTACCCCTAACAGAGGGATGAGAAAGTCTTTCCCCATAAAATTGGCCATGGAAAGTGAAAGAAGAGTCATTATGAGTCATAATTGACCTGATGGCAGGGGGTTTCTCCGTTTTATGAGGTTCACAGCATCTGATAAATGTAGCACAGAACAATGGTCTTGTAGTCTTATATAGTTTTGAGGATCTATTTGATGTAACACTAGACTGCCCTGTCACAATTAGAAAAAGCCCTCCACATACTCTGATGGAAAGAGGCATTAAAATAGGGAAGCATGTGAATCATTGCAACAAGTCCATCAAAGAAGAAAGGTAGGAAATAAAAAGTCATTCCATAATGAACCTGTGCCAAAAATTTCCATAACCAGACTAACAAAAGAATTGATACTTGGAAAAACTCAAAGTTGGAGGGATGATTTGCTATATAATTACTGCTCTGAAGGACTCGGGAGGGGGGAAACCCCAAGAATTGATGGCATACCAATTGACCTATTTCAACAAACAGATGCTGCCCTGAACATGCTCACCAGGTTGTACCAAGAAATCTGGAGGACAACCACCTGGCCAACTGACAGGAAGAGATCTGTATTTGTTCCCATTCCAAAAAAAGGTGATCCAAGAGAGTGTGGAAATTATCAAACAAGATCGTCAATATCATATGCAAGAAAGATCCTGCTGAAGATTATCCAAAAACAACTGCAACAGCACATCAGTATAGAATTGCCAGATTTATAAACTGGGTTTAGATGAGGTTGTGACACTAGGGATATTACAGTCAATGTTAGATGGATCTCAGCTGAAAGCAGAGTACCAGAGGGATGTCTATCTGTGTTTCATTGACTATGCAAAGGCATTTGACTGTGTGGATCAGAATAAACGGTGGCTAACCTTGAGAGGAAAGGGAGTCCCAGGACATTTACTTGTGCTCATGTGAAACCTACATTTGTACAGAGTAGTCGTCAGAACAGAGCAAGGAAATACTGCTTCATTCAAAATCAGATGGAAAGGTGTACATGCCAGGGATGCTTCCTATATCCATACCTTTTCAATCTATATGAGGGACAGATCACTTGGGAGGCTAGACTCTGTGAGGAGAAATGTGGCATCAGGGGGGAAGATTCATCAACAACCTACATTATGCTGATGACACAACCTCGCTTGCTGAAACTGAGGAGGACCTGAAGTGTTTGCTGCAGAGGGTCAAGGACTGCAACAAAAACTCTCACCACTGGGCCAATTAGTAGCATAATGATAGAAGGAGAAGAGACTGAGATTGTTAACAATTTCAGCTTGCTTCATTCCACAATCAATACTCTTAGCACCAGCAATCAGGAAATCCAAAACTGAACTACACTGGGAAATTATGTTGTCAGAGACCTCCCCAAAATGCTGAAGAGCAATGATGTCTAGAGATTAATGTGTGCCTGATCCAGGCCACAGTCTTCGCAATCACTTGTATTTATATTACTGTACTATGTATCAGAGAGCTGGGAGAGCAGGACAATGACTATGGATGATAGAAGAATTGATGCCTTTGAGTTGTGGTGCTAGAGAGAGTACTGAACATACCATAGACTTCTAAGAGAACAAATAGGTCTGTCTGTCTTGGAAAGGGATACCCAAGTTGCTCCTTGGTGGCAAGGATTTTGAAGCTCCATCTCACATATTCTGGGCATGTTGCCAGGTGGGACTAGTCTTTGGAGAAGGACATCAAGCTTGGAAGGGTAGAGGAAAAATGCAAAAGAGGAAGACCCTAAATGAGACGGACTGACGCAGTAACTGGGTTAATGATGATAAGTGCACTGGAGACAATGAAATTGGCTCAAGAAAGGGCAGAGTTCAGAGCTATGAGTCACAAGTGACTCAATGGCACATAACAACAGTAACAATTACCATAATGTCTAAAAATATTTATCCATAGCATATATCCCACACTATGGTTAGAACACTATATAAAAATAATTCTCTAGATCTTATGCCTTTCTCTTAATTTCCATCTTATCTTCTTAATCCATGAAGTACCAAGATTTTCCTTAATATAATGTTGTTGCATGCCTTTGAGTCAGAATTCACTCATAGCTGACCCTCCATTGAGTTTTCAGAGGCTGTAAATTGCATAAGAGGAGACTGTTCATCTTTCTTCCATGAAGCAGTTGGTGGATTTGAACCATGTGCTACAGTGGCAGTGTCCTTACCCATTAGGCCACCAAGCTCCCTCTTAATGTAATAATTTTCTTAATTTTATAATTACCTAAAGTCAAACACAAATTAAAAGGCAAATGAAATATAAACAGATTAAAATGCACATAAAATCTCAAAACAGGCAAAAATTATCTATGATCTAGGAAGTCTAGACAGGGGCTACCTTTATAATAAGGGAGGTAATCTCTAGGAATCAGAGTTGATGGGGGTAGTTTCCGGGTATTGATGATGTTTTATTTCTACATTTGAGTGTTTGTTACACAAATGTGTTATTTATAAGACTTACACTTCTCTTGTGCACTCTTCTGTCTACATGTTAAACCTTTCTAAAATCTTTTCAATAATCAACTTTAAGACATATGTAAAAACTAGGTAATGAATAAATTAACCAAAATTATACTTTGTTGTATATATTTCTAAAATACATGCCAATAAGAATATAATGCTATTTCATACATATATTTAAAATTAATGAAATCTATAAAGTAATTTAAAATGATCATAAATATAGTTATCTCTGAAATGGTGCCAATCATTACAGCTGCATTTTCTTTAAACAAAATACAAAAATGTATTACCATGTTCCAAATAGAGAATTAAAATCCAAGTAAGTAAATACTAAGCCTTAGGTTTAGAGTTAGACTCTTACAGAATTCTGCATGATTCAATATTACAAAATCAAATAGCATAAAACTTAAATGATATGAAGAAAGAAATGAGGACAAGAGGGGAAAAAAGCAGAAAATATATATGCCCTTTTACTCCTGAACCATCTTCTTGGTATAATCCAGTTCCCATTAGCTCTCAAAAATATATTTTTAAATCAAAATAGGTATAATTAATAATAAAGAATAAGAATAATATAAAAAGATATGGCTAAAAGAATGGCCATCATTGTGTTTAATATTTGGTTTTCGTGTCATTTTTCACTAATAGGAAACAAAAGATTCCATGAGGTTTTAACAAAGATTTTTCATTTTCAGTAAACAAAATCATATCCACTATTCTCTGAAAATGCATAATAATGATTATCTAAATGACTTACTGCTTTTTTTACCAGAGTATCTGGATATTCCTAATTTTAAAAAAGAAAAATATTGCCCCAAATTAAGAGTCACATTTTTTACTTTTAAAAAACTTGGCCAACATTTAGAGCTATATCCTGGGATCTTAAATACTTTTACTAAAAGTTCCATCCTCCTCCTTCTCCTGCACTTTTCCAGACTATACAGATACCTAAAAGTACCCCTCTCACTATTGATTTCTTCTCATTGTAAGTGTTCTGAAATACCCAAATTGGAAAATGGAGATTGGATGTGAAGTCTTTTTTTGTGATCACCTGTAGTGAAAATGCTGAATTGCTTAGTGGACAATTCGGAGAGAGGAAATAATCTGTAATCAAATGCTACAAATATCTTCTCCAGCAGGGTATCTAAATCTGAATCTGTAAGCTAAAGAGGTGCTTTAGACATTTCCAGTTTGAAGACTTAGTATGACTAGGGCATGTTCCACACAAATATGAGAAATGCAAACTTAAGCAATACTCTGTAACCTACATGGTATGAAGTTCTTGCTTCACGGTACATTCTCCATAGTAATCATCTGACTACCTTTTTGCAAAAATGTCTAAGACAAAAGGTTTTTTAAAAGACTACTTAAAATTATTTCCATTAAACATCACATTGATAAGAATATATTCTTTTAAAAAATGCTTATCCTTACCTAGTGGAGGCTGAAGTAAGTCTCCTTCCTTTTCACATGTTCCAACAGGCTGTATGTCTGGGGAATCAACAAGTCTCCAAAAGTCATTCCTATTGTCACTGCCATCCAGTCTTAATCGTAACCTGGCACCAGTAATCCCAACAACTGTGGCAATACACACTGAAGTAGTATTGCGAGGGTCATGAGCTTCCAACTTCATACCAACTTTGAAGTCATTAGCTGGTGGAATCTTGGACTATACATATATGTATATAAATAAAATTTTGTTAAAATGTTATTAACTATAGGAAAAACAGTTATACAACTAAAATACCCAAGAAATGTTTTAAGTTACAGCAGATGATAAGTAAGGGTTGTAAGGGTCAAGGAAGAGATGTCTAAATCTGTTCCTTGGCTTGACATATAGCATTAAAACACTAATCACTGCTGGTCTAACTCATCTCACTATTTCCAGGCAACACCAATATACTCACTAAATGATATCTTTAATAACTTTCTAAAACAGGAATCTGATGAAGCCATTTCCCTTGAAATAAAGCAATCAGCAGCTTACCACTGCCTAAGGATAAAGTCCTTTCTTTGTACAGTTTAAAAGTTTACATACCTTTTAACCTAATCCCCTCTCTATGGCCTCTACCCGCTCTCTGCTTCAACCACCACATACCAACCCTCAAAGCTCAGGCTCTTTTACCCTCACATGCCTCTGTTTCTTGTGGTGTCTCTGCTTTGAATACGCTTCTCTTCATCCTACCCATCTCAGGTAGCTTCCCTTCTGTAAACCTTCCCAGTACAGAGTTATCACACTTCTCATATTTATTTATTTACATATCTATCTTTCTCTCCAGATGGGCAGTCATAAGGGCTTAGTATTCTTCTTAGTATTCCTGACGAAGAGCAAATTCTTAATGAATGAATGTAAAGAAACCATCTGGCTCCTAACTGGCACTCCTAGTCACTATCTACTCACACTACTAGAAGCTAACAATAAAACAGACACTATTCAACAAATTACGTTTACATTAATATTTACAATATATACACAATTAGGTATACCTGTTTGAAATACTCTGGAGGAGCACCTACAGATCTGGTTTCTTTCAAGTATCTGTCCCACTGGAAATCATCTGAGGAAAAAAGGGGGGAAAACTTGTTATGTTAGTATATAAATATATATACATATTAATTCACTTTCAAGAATAAAATTGGTTTTACTTACATTATTACTCAAAAAATTATTTCCAAAAAAGAATTTTCTAACTTTCCATGATTACTAGAATGAAAATTAAAAAATCCAGCTTCCTGGTAATAATGGCTCTGATGTATTAGAAATTACAGCCAAGGTCCTCTCAATGGAATGAGAACTACAGCACACTGAATCTAAAAGTGTGGATTCTAGAAACAGGAAAATTTACAGAATAATAGTAAAATCTATTCACTTGTCTTTGATAGAAACTTAGTAAAAAAATGTGTTTTTATCCCATTAATATGAAGGTGCTTCTGGGTTAAACATGGGAAGCGAAAAGTATTTAGGTAAGTGGTGTAACACAATCTTTTCCCTGCAATGCTTATGAAAAGAAAAAAAATGATCACCAGACTAGGTTTTTAATCTTATGTTACATCACCAACCAATGTGTCAAGAAGATTTTTTTGCAAATAAGAGTAAGTTTGCAGAACAAAGCAATAAACCAATCAATGATACAAACTATTTTAATGATCTCTATTTTCTATAACCTCTTGCTTCTTTTTCTCTCCCTCAGTCTTTATGATATGATGCTAGAAGATCATAAATAAAATTACCAAAAGGCTACAAGATTGGACTTTTCCTTCTATAGTCAATACTTGTTGTGCATAGAGTAGGGAAGGGTGTACGCCAGGGATGCATCCTGTCTCCATACCTTTTCAACATGTATGCAGAGCAGATTATCCGAGAGGCTGGGCTCTATGAGGAGAATTGTGGCATCAGGATTGGTGGAAGATCTATTAACAATCTCCATTATGCAGATGA